TTTTCTGCAAGCTTTTTTCAAGATAAATGTAGATGTCTTTCCAAAAAAGGACACTTAGAAACTCCAAAAGGACACCAAATAACCAAATGATATAAGGAGCCCATATAAGCACATGTGAAAGAAAAAAAAAATCAGAATTTTATAGTATGTGTACAGTGCAACAGCAAAGAGCTTTTTTAAATTTTCGAGAAGCCAAGTTGCGATACCGAACCAGGACCACATGGAGATGCCAAAAAAAACCTAAACCAATCGTCTGCTGACTGCATATATCTACTACAGTACACGGCTCCATTCAGAATTACTAAACACAGCAACATACACATGACAAATCAAAACATTATCGTGAATGTACGGAAATGTCTGTGCCTATGCATAAATACAATGTGCGATCAGTGCATTAATACACGCATTATTATAACGGACTCACGCGTGCTTACTGTACGACTCCTGTATGCCACCGCAATCGTCTTTACCTTGATTGCAGTCTTCATCCATCAAAACTTGACTAGCAAGACTGGTTCTCCAGTCGCATCTCATCTGGCCATACAGCGGTGGGATGTGTTGACAATCCGTTCAGTCTGTACTTCACACAGCGCGTGTGACGCGTGAGGGCTCGTGCCCTTCAGAGACAATCACAGAATTATGACCGAGCTCGTGTTTAAAAGCGAAACACTAGAAGGAATAATTCACTTAAAACGCGACGCGAGTCTCTGTTCTCTCTGCAATCTCTGATGTAATCAGCCTGGTTTCCTTTATATTAGCGCTGTTTTGGACGGATCGTTTGAATGCATTCGCTTACGGGAAAGTTTTCAGTCCAATGATCCCAGAGTTTAGTGGCTTTAAATGATCTAATCGCAAGCAGAGAAGCAAAATTGGGTTAAAGGGTTAGAATAGAAATTGTGCTTTAGTAATTTTGCATTAATTGCGTAAAATTATTTTAACGCGTTAAGGATTGTAAAATTAATTGCATGCGTTAACGATGACAGCCCTAATAAATATATAGATATATAGAGAAAGAGAAAGAGAGTTAGATTTTATGTGGCCATTTTAACCCTTTTTTTTTTCCCTGTGCATGCAGGTTTTCTTCCAGCAGGCCAAACTTTAAAACTGGAACTGTCAAGCGGAGCGTTTTGGGAGCTCAGCAGTCAACGCCACTTACAGACCACCATAACGACAGAACTTAGCGTAGAAGCTACTTTTGCACTTAAAGAAGCATAACACACCCTTCCTGTCTGCGGGGACACGGACCCCCAACAGGAGTCACGTGGGGATTGGCGGTCACGTGACGTGACCACACCCCCACACCGACCTTGGCCCAATCAGAGTTGTGCTCTCCATGGAGGTTTAGCCGCCTGGGCTGGAGGCGACGTCTGCGATTGGACGAGACGCCATACTGTAGGTGGGGTTTGTGAGGGTGGGCGGGGCTTCAGTCCTGGACACAATTTCAAGGGAAAATGCATTTCCACTTGAAATACAACAGTTTTGGTTATTGTTTGGAAGTATGACTTAAGTGTTACAGAAAATTCTGGAATGAATTTAATGAAATGTTTTTGGGGTTTTTTGTGCGGAAGCTTAAGAAGGGCCGGATTAAGAAGATTTAATTGCTACTTTTTCTTTTTTTTTAACATGCATAGGTTTTAGTTTGACGTGATGGGGTTAATAAATGGAAGTGCTCTTGATGTTGGGCTTTTTGGATCTAAAATGTCTTTTTTTTTTTTTTAAATCAGCAATCCCTTCAAGTTTTCCATATAATACGGCATTCCCATCAAAGCTGTTCTGTAACTCATATAGTTTCCGAACACTAAACATTTGTCCGCTCCATCACAGTCTCAGATTCGCTGTCGTTTAATGCCTTTAAAGCCCACTTGAAATATGCAATGTTACGAACTGTGAAAATACTACGAGGTGGTTTGATCCTTGGATCTGCAGTGGGAATGTTTTGGTTAAGTTACGCTGCTAGCAATTCTTGTTTGGAAATGTACTTTGTGTAAAAAAAAAAATAGAAAATCTCTGATTTGTAGAAATGACCTGTTACGGCTGACAAAATGACAATCTGTGTTGGATTTTTAGAGACGCTGCACGTGTCTTAACCCTTTCAGCTCTGGATTCCACGTCAGACAGAAACGCTCGGCAAAGGTTTGGACCTAAACGTTTCTTGGGTCTCAACATCACGTTGGCTTTAATGGTTAATCATGATAGGGAAAAAAAAAAGTTTGTAACTTTGAATATGAGATTGACTGTTAAAGATTGTTTCTTTGTCATTACCCATAAGCCTTTGCTTCAGACTTCCTGTGATTTGCCTAACAGACCTGTTACTCAAATGCTCCAGTCCTGCTCGTCAGACCCACTGTGTTAATGCCAAAAAAAAGAGGAGAGGGACACGAAAGGTAGACTGTGCAAACTTGTTTTATTTTTGATATGCTGGGAAAGGCCCTCTCACACTCTCTTTTGTCATGACCAATAAAGTATTTACTAATCTCCGCCAGATTTCCAGCTGGAGGTTTATTGAAGCGGCTGCATTCACGTAATCATTCAAACAGATTCAGGAGAACGAGGTGCTGATGCAACGGTTTTATTCCACATTAGTAGCTCTGTGTAAACATGTTCACCCTTAAACCCGAAATGAAACAAATAATGCTGGAGCCACTTCACCTTCACAAGTGCTAAATATTTGAGCTGCAGAGTCTTGCGTGCAGCATCGTGATGTTTCAGCCTTTAATCACAGCGATGGGTCTGAGCTTGATGGCCTTCTTACTGATGCCGGCGTCGTGGCACGTGTTCACTACATCCGTGACGTTCTTGTAGGATTCAGGAGCCTGATGTGCAAGATACAATGCACGTTTAAAAAAGTAACTAACATATAACAGCATAACATTTTTTCAGTGCATTTTATTGTGATTTATATTTAAAGATATAAAAATTGTTTCAGCTTTTTTGGAAACTTAATTGGAATTGTTTAAAATTTAATTTGCAAACAGATGGTGAATAATTTGACCATTTACATCACGAAGCAACAAAGAAAGCATAATTATTAAATGCATTTTATTGGAGGATGATTATTTAAAAACAATGTAAAAATAAATATCCAAGTAAAAAATAAAAATAGTTTGCTTTTTTGTATAATTAAAATTAAATCACAAAGCAGCTTAAATAAGTATTCAATGCATTTTATTGTTGGATTATTCATAAAAATAGTTTGCTTTTTTTTGATGCTTAAATTTGTTTAAATGAAAATAAACATTTTGCAGATGAGTGAAACTTCTGGTTTAACAGCTATTCTAATTGACATGATTAAAAATCATAATACAATATAAATCTAAGCTTAATTCTAAGTGATAGTTAAAAAAAAAGATGAATTTGTGACCATTTAGTGTTTAATATAATTAAAGTTTTTTTTTATTGCAGCATGGTTATTTGAAAAACAAATTTTCTATTTTTGGATGCAAAAAAAAAAATTGGAATTGGTTCTTTAAAAAGGGGGTAAAAAAAAAAAGTTTCCAAAGAACTGGAGCTTCTGGTTGTGACTGAATGAAGAGATCTCACCTCCTCCATCACCAGCTTGGGTGACGCCACTCTGATGGCGATGCCCATGTCTGCCAGTTTATCCAGAACGTCCTGGAAGTCCAAGTTGCGTCTGGATTTGGCTCTGGATAGAGCTCGACCCTGCAGCGTTCACAAACACACGTCAGACAGGTGAGCACGACCACAATCACTGCAGCAGATCTGATCACATGACTCACCGCACCGTGACACGTGGTGCCAAACGTCTCCGTCATGCCCTGCTCTGTGCCCGTCAGCACGTAACTGCAGGTGCCCATGGTTCCTCCGATCAGAACCGGCTGGCCTGTCAGCTGCAAGAGAAAACATTGAAATGTTTCAGTTCACAGTCATGTGACGACAACCACAAGAAAACATTGAAATGTTTCAGTTCATAGTCATGTGACGTCAACCACAAAGGAAAGTAGTTTTCAAACTCTGAGTAACATGCATTAAAGGGGTCATATGATGCTGCTAAAAAGAACATTGTTGTGTATTTGGTGTAATGCAATGCATTTATGCGGTTTAAGGTTCAAAAAACACTTTCACATATTGTTTCTCCTCTATGCCCCGCCTTTCACAAAGCTCATCGCTCTGAAAAGCGAGGCGTGCTCTGATTGGCCAGCTATCCAGTGAGTTGTGATTGGCCGAACAGCTTGTAACACTCCAAAGAGAAAGGAAAACTTGAAATCGCATCATATGACCCCTTTAATAAATCGATCCAGGAGGAAGAATGGAGTTAGTCACCTGATAGTCAACAGGTATGAGTGGATGGTGAGGCGGGAACGCTCGCGTCGAGCCCTTTCTGTGCAGGAGAAGTGTCTTCT